ACCTGCTACGACACCACCCCCGATAACCTCAGCTTCAACACCCTCGCGCAGATCGTTCACCGCGACGGGGAAATCCCCCGTTCCTTCCGATCTAGAGAAATCATGTCCTTCGCCGACCTCCCCCACGAGGACGTTTTCCTCTTCCTAACCCAGCTTCAGAACTCTTTTCAGCTCCACCACATGCCCCTTGCCCACTGACTCCCCATTGCCACCTCCTGCCTCCTCGGCAACGCAGCCAAATGGTGGATGGCTGAAGTTAGCAACCGCCGGGCCTCCGGAGGACCACGTCACACCTTCCTCCAATGGGCCAACCTCCTCACTGCCACCTCCCGCCCCCAGAAAACCATTGACGACTACCTTGAACAATTCTACCACCTCCGCCAGACCGGTCCCACGGACCGCTTCGTCCAATACGTCCGCTCCCTCCGCCACCACCTCCCCCACACCGTCATTCCTGACTTTGCGTTCATCTCCCGCATCAAACGAGTATGCCACAAAGACCTTGCAACCGCCCTCGCCCACGAACCCGACATGCCCCTTGCTGACCTCCTCTCTCGCATGCTCCACCACGATCGACTCCTCCATCCCCACCACCAGCCCCCGCCCGACACCTCCCGCACCCGCTTTTTTCACCACATCATCCCCGAAGACACCACCTCCATCACTTCCTCAGACGAGTTCACCACACCTGACCCCGACGCATCTTTCGATTCACTCGACTCTTCATCCCTCACTTCCGAGGAACTCGATGTCATTCAATTCATGAGAATGGAGCGCAGAGATCACAGCTTCCGACCACCCGCATCTACCCCACACTCCCGCCTCAAGAAACTCACCCCCGAGGAGCGCACTTACCTCCAAGCAAAAGGGGGTTGCTTCACAAACCAACACCGCACGATTCACCCGCAAGTCTGCCTCCACTCCACCCGCAACCTCCGTATCACCGCCATCGGCAAGCGCGGGCCCCTCCTCATCATGAACAGAGTCCCCGGGGCACTGACCCAGCATCGACATCGCGTGTGTCGGCCCACCCATCGGTGACGTCCTCCGTCCCACCGATGGCCCATCTGGCATCGACAATTCGTTTGCCTCCCCCCTCTCTGGCGACACCCCCTCCACCGGACGACTCCCAGGCGTCGCAAACGCCTCCCACTGCCTCATGCTCCTCTACCCTTCTTCCAAATCCATCCACTATCTACTTCTCCGATATTGTTGAGGAACAAGCCCGGCACGATCGGCTTGTCCGCGTAGGCAACGAACAACGCCGCCTCAACACCATCATCTCCACTGCCAACTCATCTCGTTTCCACCTCAAATTCATCGCTGCCACCCTTGGTGCGTCTACAACTAAGTTTCGGGCCCTCCTCGACATTGGAGCCACCAGTAACTTCATCACCGACGCGTGTGTCCGCAAAGCCGGTCTTACCTCTACCGGTTATGACTCCCCGATCACGATTCGCCTAGGGGACAAAGACACCGCCGTCGTAGTAGACCGCACGGCTCCCGAGATCATCATGACCGTCGAAACCCTCCGCAGTCAGGTCTCGTTAGATGTCATGCACTTGGTGTGCGACATCATCTTAGGAACCCCGTGGCTGGACCGCTACATGCCATACGCATTCCACCCCAACTTCCTTCGCCTCACCAACCCCCCCGACACAACCATYGACATCCCCTATCTCCCATATCCGACCTCCCAAGGCTCTGTCACCCCGCACCAATTCCTCCACATGGCTCGCCTAAACCTCGACTCCGCCTACTACTGTCTTGTCCTTGATCGCGATAGTCCCAAGGACTTACTCCCGACGAACAAACCCGATCAAGCCCCCTCCTCCAACCCCGCCATCACATCAATCCTCGACGAGTTCACGGACGTCTTTCCCTAGTCCTTACCCGCCGGACTACCTCCGGATCGTGGCGTATCRCATACCATCGATTTGGAACCCGGACATTCTCCACCTTGCCGCCCTCCATACCAACTCTCTGTCCCCGAAGCCGAAGAAATGAARCGGCAACTCGGTGAACTCCTTGAAAAAGGGTTCATTAAGCCAAGTTCATCCCCCTTCGGAACCAGCTGCCTTTTCGTCAAGAAAGGTGGAACTTCAGAACTCCGCATGTGCACGGACTACCGCGCCTTGAACCGGATCACGATCAAGAACAAGTACCCCCTACCTCGGATTTCCGAGCTCCTTGATCGTCTCCGTGGAGCCAAGTACTTTACCAAGATCGACCTTCACAGTGGCTTCCACCAGATCCGTATCCGCGAGGAGGACACCCACAAGACCGCCTTCCGCTCTCGGTTCGGGCACTAAGAGTTCCTCGTGATGCCATTCGGACTCACCAATGCCCCCCCTACCTTCCAATCTACCATGAACCACATCTTCCGCAACCTCCTCGAAGTCTGTGTCGTCGTCTACCTTGATGACATCCTTGTCTTCAGCACCTCCGCACAGTTTTCTCGATCCTCCGAGAGCAAAAATTCTACGCCAAGCTCAGCAAATGTACGTTTGCCGCTTCGAGCGTCGAATACCTCGGCCATATTGTCTCCGCTGAAGGCATCCGTATGGACCCCTCGAAGGTCACAGCCCTCGTCGAGTACCCCCCACCCAAAACCCTCCTCCAACTCCGTTCCTTCCTCGGCCTTGCCAACTATTACCGCCCGTTCATTCGCAACTTTTCCGAGATCTCTTACCCTCTCCACGAACTCACCCGCAAGGACGAGCCCTTCCATTGAAACGATCGCTGCCAACACGCTTTCGACTTACTCAAGCAAACCATCACCACGGCCCCTGTCCTCAAGATCGCCGACCCCACTCGCCATTTCTATGTCACCACTGACGCCTCCGACTTCGCCATCGGAGCCGTACTGTCCCAACATTTCCCCCGCGACAGTGCCGAGACCCCCTCCATCAAGGACTCGCCCACTCACCCCGAGGCTCCACCTGGCGAATACCCTATCGCCTTCGCAAGCAGGAAGCTCCTTCCCGCGGAGATGAATTACCCCTCCAACGAGAAGGAACTCCTCGCCGTGATTCACGCCCTCACAGTCTAGTGCCCGTATCTCGACGGGCAATACTTCACCATCCGCACTGACATCACCATCGTCTCCTCCATCCTCTCCAAAAAAGATATCACTCCACGCCAAGCCCGCTGGCTAGACTTCCTTGCCCAGTTCACATTCACCATTTGCAATACCCCCGACAAAAGCAACCGCGTTGCGGATGCCCTCTCTCGACGACCCGACCACAAGCCCCCCGAGAAAGTCTACGCCGCCATGACTCATATTCAACTCCTTCCGTCACTTCATCATCGATACACCCAAGGTTATCTCTCGTGCTCAGACTTCGCCACCATTTACAACAAGCTCTGTGATCTTGACGCAGTTCCCGAATACTCACTCCACAACAATCTCCTCTACATTGATACCAAAGGCACTCGCCGACTTTGCATCCCCGACGCACGGGGCCTCCGTACTCAGCTCTTGGCCAAGCACCACGACGCTAAGACCGCAGGACATCTCGGTTTCCAGAAAACCTTCGACACCATCTCCCGCTACTTCTACTAGCCTTCCCTACTCGCTGACGTCAAGGCATACATTCGCTCGTGCCCCACATGTCAAGCTGTCAACCCCTCCAACCGGGCCAAACCCGGCAAGCTCCAATCATTGCCCATCCCAACTCACTGGTGGCAGTCCATCTCCATGGACTTCGTGTGCGGCCTCCCCAAGACCGACCGCGGGCATGATTGCATCTACGTCATTGTCTGCCGCTTGACCAAACGTGCCCACTTCGTCCCTTGCACGACCTCGCACAGTGCCAAAGACGTCGCCACACTCTTCTTCAACCATGTTGCTCGCCATCACGGCGTCCCCGAGAACATCATCAGTGACCGGGATCCTCGCTTCCTCTCACAATTTTGGAAACACCTCTTCACGGCCTACGGAACCACGCTCAAGTATAGCACTGCATTCCACCCACAGACCGATGGACAAATAGAGAAGATGAACGATACACTCCAAAGAATCATGCGGAAGTATTGTCATCCACACCAACACGATTGGGATCAGTTGCTCACAGCCGCCGAGATTGCCTACAACAACGTTGTCTGCCCCTCCACTGGCATGTCCCCTTTCTACCTCGACCTTGGCTACCATCCCCGCTTGCCCTCTGACTTCTTGCTTCCCTCGCAGCTCAGCCCCTCCACCCCTTGCCCCTCTCTCAAGGAATGGGTAGCAACAATGAACAGACTCCTCAAAGAAGCAACCGAAGCCCTTGAAAGAACACAAGAACAACAAGCCAACAAGACGAACAAACACAGACGTGACGTGTCATTCAAAGTAGGGGACAAAGTCTGGCTTTCTGCCAACCGCTTTGAACCTGAACAAGGCTTGTCCAAGAAACTCTCGAACAAGTGACTCGGTCCCTTCCCCATCATTGAACAAACCTCTCCCGTGAATTACAAACTTCAGCTTTCACCTGACATGCGTCGCGTCCACCCAGTCTTCCACGTAGAATACCTCTAGGAATACCACGAATCCCCGGCCCAGTTCGCTGACCGCCATTATCCTAGACCTCCACCGATCATGCTTCCAACAGGCCCAAAATTCATAGTCGAGTCAATCATAGGACGAAGAACAACTCAAGTATCAGATCACCCGGAACCAATCACCGAATACAAAGTAAAATGGACCGGATACCCTGATGAAGAATCAACATGGGAACCCCTTGATAATCTCAAGAATGCCATGAAACTTGTTTGTGCCTATGATCGTGCCTACCCTGTATCCTAGCTATATCCTGGCATAAACCCTAAACCCTCGCTTAAAACCCTGCTACAACCTCGCAACCCTCCTC